TGTTGGAAGGTTCGAATCACAATTTGAGTTACCAAACGGTCTCCGATTTTACCGAGCTTGTACTCGAATCGAACGGCTCGACGAGACAAATCCAACGAGCCCAAGATCACCGAATTCCGACATCACTAAGGCCTTCAAATGTCTGACGAATGGTGCACGATCGTAGGATTCAATATCGGTTGTCCATTCGACCACTCCCTATTCGCCCCTGATCTCAGGCCTATTTACGAGCTATGCCACTCCAGAAAAACTATAAATAGAGCCCTCATTCTTCACAAAGAGGTGTCCAAGCAAGAAGAGAAGAGGAAGAAGAGAAGGAAGAGAAGGAAGAAGCTCCTCCTCGACCACCGTCGGAACCTCGCCGGACCACCGCAGGAGCCTCGCCGGACCACCGCTGGAGCTTCGCCGGACCACCACATGAGGCCCTCACCCTCGTCGGAGCCTCGCCAGACCACCGCCAGAGCTTCGCCGGACCACCACCTGAGGCCCTCACCTTCGCCAGAGGCCCTCACCTTCGCCGCAACACCACCTGAGGCCCAGACTTCTGCTGGGCCACTGCCTGACGCCTAGAGTCCTACTAGAGTACCGCCCTACTACAACGGTATTTCAGACCCCGATCTCCTGCCGACTACGGTCCTCCCGACCTCCGTCGCCTACTATGGTCACTCTGACCTCCATCACCAGACAACGGTCTTTCAGACCCCAGTCTCCTACCGACTACGGTCCTCCCGACCTCCGTCGCCTATGGTCACTCCGACATCCATCACCAGACAACGGTCACTCAGACCCCGGTCTCCTACCGACTACGGTCCTCCCGACCTCCGTCGCGTACTATGGTCACTCCGACCTCCATCACCAGACAACGGTCACTAAGACCCCAGTCTCCTGTCGACTACGGTCTTCCCGACCTCCATCGCCTACTATGGTCACTCCGACCTCCATCACCAGACAACGGTCTTTCAGACCCTGATCTCCTGCCGACTAAGGTCCTCCCGACCTTCGTCGCCTACTATGATCACTTCGACCTCCATCAACAGACAACGGTCACACAGACCCCAGTCTCCTGCCGACTACGATCCTCCCGACCTCCGTCGCCTACTATGGTCCTTCCGACCCCCATCACCAAACAACGGTCTTTCCGACCTCCATCCTATCGACTATGGTCGTGCTGACAAAATAAATACATCTATTATAACTCCCACCATGTAATACACTCTATATGATGTACATTTGTGACATCAAGCCAAGACCTTCTCCCTAAGAAGGCCTCATTTGTAATCGACTACAAATACTAGTGGATTCATTCAAACTGGGCCAGGCCCCGTGGTTTTTCCCTTTTTTCAGAGGTTTTCCACGTAAAAACTCCAGTGTCTCTTATGAACGCTACACTCTCTCACTTATCTGATTGTGTGCTGGATATTCATACAATGCTAAGACGTTAAACTATATATTTCTCTACCGCCGCGAATATTCCAGGACGCAACAATTCCAAATGAGCTTTGGATTTGAATTTGCATATTATATTATAACTGAGCGCAAACTAAGAAAAACTTGACTAAGATCAACCTATTGCCCTTCAATCTATCTCCAAATTGTCGCTAAAGAAGAATGCAAGCTGTATAAAAAGGTCTTTTTTATTTTAAACAATTAAAATCTATATTAAATATTATAGCAATTGAAAGAATGATAATAAGACTTTATAGGTCACAAAAAATCATCTTGATCAGTCACAAATTTCAATTCCAGAGTTTCTATAAAAATATATACTTAAAAATATGTTTTTTTCTTAAGTTTGAAATTTTTTTATCATGTTATTTTTAATATAATGCTTTCCGCTCTATTTTGAATAAGTTGACTATAAAAATGTGAATTTCTACCGGTTGATTTACTCTGTATGAATTTATAAAATTTTCTTCTAACCTCTGAATTGGCTCTGTTCTGATTCTACTCTACACCTGCTTAAAGCAGATAAATGATGATAAAAAAAGGAGTTATAAGCAGACATTGAAACATATGCATTTTGCATCCATGGCGGCACGTAAGTTTAAAATTGTTTTGTTGTCGTGCTGTATATAGTACAAATCATGCTCTATTATAAGTTAGAATAAAACTATAAATTTTATATTCTTGCTCATTTAAATTGCAATTTGTGAATTGAATTCTTTTGCGGAGACCGGTTGAGTTATTAAGTCATGTACTCATATTGTTGCTTAAAATATTTTAGGAAAGGGAAGGGTCTTGCCGAGTATCTAGCTCTTAACAGGGCACAATCGAGAAAAGGGATTAAACTCAATGTTGTTATTGGCGGCGGCGGCGGCGGCGATCTTTTTCGTGTTAGGCTTATTTTGCATCACCAGTAAATGTGATGACCTGAAAGCAAAGATTGTCAATTCGCTTAAACCTCATAAAAAACTATGAAATATCTGAAAGCATGCATAACTTCACCTTCAATGAATCTACACTCATTAGAGTCTAAACAGCTCAAAGGTTTGAAATTCTTCTAGAAAGCTGGCACATAAGTGACCTCTCCCCCAATATTCATAGCTTCAACGGGGAAATCAAATGAATATCCATAATCAATGAATCTTCCACAGAAGGCACAAAATAAAATACAATTGTCAGAACTAAATCAAGCACATATTTTTGCTCCTTCGATACTAATGTGGCTTCAAAATTGCCTATCAGATCACCTTTTACTCGAGTTTTCCTTATTAAAATCTACAATCTGATGTAGTAGTGACTTTGTCCTTTCTCTTTAGACTTTGATTTTAATCTCCCTTATTCTTCCTTGTTTTGAAATTACCAAGTTCACAACATATATGCTTTATATTATTAAAGTAATACAATTAAGATAAGAGAAACATAACTACCACACAACTATAGAAAAAAAAAACACAATAAACACAGCTCCACAAAGATAAAAACACCAAAATTTATATAAGACACAAAAATGGCAAACATCTACGAGAGAGGAGGCATAAATAGTTCCACTAGCAAATATCATGGAGAATTAAAAATTGAGAGGAGCAATAGAACAAATAAAATCCTCTCTTAAGGAAAAAACAAATAAAAAAGAAAGGGGTTAATAATGCTTATATTCAAGTCATTAGGGATATGTATGCTAGAGATGTTACTTGTGTTCAAACAGAAGATGGTTTGACCAAGTATTTTTCAATTTCAGTTGGATAACATCAAACCCTTAAGCCCATATCTATTGTTTTAGTCTTGGATGTTCTTACTAGAGATTTGCAAGAGGATGTTTCCTAATATATGCTTTTTGCTGACAATATTCTTCTTGTTAATAAGACTAAAGAGGGAGTTGAAGGTAAACTTGAATTATGGAGGTTAACCTTAGAGTTTAAAGGTTTTCGTTTGAGTAGATCTAAAACCGAATACACTGAGTGTAATTTTAAGAGTAATAGATCTAGTGGGGGAATGTGACTTTTAGCTATCAAGTTATTAATAAGAGTACACGTTTTAGATATCATGGGTCTATTATGCAGAATGATGGTGAAATATATGGGGATATTATTAGTAGAATTCAAGTTGGATGGTTGAAGTGGAGGAATGCATAGGACTTTTTGTGTGATAGAAAGTACCACTTAAACTTAATGAAAAATTCTATAAGATGGTAGTTAGACCTATAATGCTTTATGACAAAGAATGTTGGCCATTAAAAGAGAAACATAATATTAAGTTAAGTGTTGCAAAGATGAGGATGCTCAGGTGGATGAGTGGCTTTACTCTTAGAGACATGATACGAAATGAGCATATACATGAAAACGTTGGAGTAGCTCCAGTGGTAGATAAGGTTAGAGAGCGTCACCTTAGATGGTTTGGTCACATAAAATGGTGGCCTTCTGATGACCCGATTAGGAGAGTAGATTTATTAAATTCGACCTATGTTAAGAAAGGTACATGTAAACCTAAAAAAACTTGGTTAGAAAATATTAGAAATGATCTTTCTCTATTAGATCTAAAAGAGAATTTGACTCCCAACATGACATAATGAAGAAAAATGATTTATGTAGCCAACCCCACGTAGTAGGATAAAGGGTTGATGTTGTAGTACATGACGAGGGTCCTATGATTTAATAGGGAATTACTAAGTTTCCCTTAGGAGTTGATATAATCATAACATTCCATTGATGATCAACTGAAGTGCAAATTTATATGAATAATGACAACAGCTTTGGATAAGCAATAACAGCCACTCCAAAAATGAGCAATTTAAATTTCTTAGAAATTAGGAGTAAACCTGCTTGACAATTGCAAGAAAAAATAACATGAGCTTTTGGCTTCACATGTGAACATATGGTATCAACACCTTCAACTTTTTCTCATGGATTTTTCTCATGGATGAAAACTCCCTTGTTGTCTAGATATCAAGGCTGTAACTTACTCAGAGTCTACAGTTTAATTGGCAGCAAATCTTAGAGAAAAAATAATCATAAGTCCCAGAGTGAGACTATTTTGGTTCCTCATTAAAGAGTTGAGGGATAAAGAGGATTGTATAAGTTAGCCAAACAAAGAGATAGGAGTAGTAAGGATTTAGTTCAAGTGAAGTGTATTAAGGATGAAGATCAAAAAATACTTTTCTTAGAAGATGATATTCAACAAAGGTGGATGAGATATTTTGCTAAACTTTTTAATGAAGATTGTGAAAATAAGATTGACTATAATGATCTTAGCACCCTAAATGAAAATAAAGATTTATATTTTTATCGACGTATTAGTAAA